AAGTCAGTGTCCAGCTATCTCCCTAAGAGAGATAAGTCAGTGTACAGATATCTCCCAGCGAGAGAAAGAGAGTATTGAGACACACCATTCTCCCTGCAGTGGAAATAAGAAACCCCAATTTTATCTTAATCCATCTGTACAGTGAGTGTTTGTCTGCTGTTACTGGTTGAAAGTTGTTGACTGTCTGTGTGAACAGCATGATGGTCACTGCCAGGCCCGAATGGTAGAAAATGGTATCAAATCCTTTGCATCTGTTGCAGTTGGAGGTCCTCTATCTCACCTCAATGCTTAGGTGCTGTACTTGTTACCACTGGGCAGTGTTGATGGCATACCCTGTGCCAGTCTGTACCATTGGCCAAGGAGCTATACCAGCTCCAAGTGGTGTCTGCCACACTGCGCTGCAGATGTTCTCATTTCAAACAGAACCTGAAGTGGCTAAGATTGACTTAGCAAATGGCCTCAGGGCCTTGGGAACAGTCAAAAAGCCTGCAATTTGCAGTTCCTGATCCAGTGATACCATTGGAAATCAGGGACAGTTTTCAAAATGCTCAGTGGGTGTGAGATTGTCCTCAGGAGGTGCCAGGGAAGCTCTGTTGTGGGTGGAGGGGAGGGTTTGTGTCTGGCAATGCCCCTGTGGGTCTGCACTTCCACAGAGAGTCAGGCTATGGTTAGGGGGACTTGGCAACTAATGCCCCCAGGTGTTGGGGCAGTGTCTTTCTGGTGCCCGTCTTCTGTGCTGACACCCAGAACGTGTGGTTCAAGTAATGAAACAGAGTGTTTTCTGTGTTCAGTCTGAGGGTCAGTGAAGAGGAAGAGGCAGTGGTGTGGGGGGTAGGGGTTGGGGGTATAGATTCCTTGCCTGGCCCACCAATCGCGTTGGAAATGTGTGCTAGGGGAGAGCTATAAAAACCAGACAAGGCAAGGCGCAACAAGGTACCAGGCAGTTAGTTCAAACGGTTTAGGGGCTGTGTGGTGGATCAAAGACCATACCCTCTATTCCACCGTCGTGCAGAGCTGGAGTGCCAGTCGAGCCCAACAGCCAGCATGACCCAAGTGTTTTCTGCCCATGTTTTGGGCACTTGGACCAGGGCATTGCTGCTCATCATCGCCATGGTGAAGGTGGTGCACATCATTCTAGAGTGTTCCTCAGGGTGGCATTGGGGGTCAGACACATGGCGCAGGACTGGATAGGAGCAAACCACTTTGGTGAAAAGGACAGGGTCACATTGCTCAGTTCCTGAGGCCCACACTGAGTTCAAATTCACACAATTTTCTGATGGGCCTCAAATTCCTAAGTTTGAGTTAAAACTGTACTTGGATTTGGCTGAAAACGTGCCACCAACACACACACATGTGCATGCACAAGCACACATTCAGAATTCAGACCGAAGCCTGTGGCCAGATAAATTTGAGTTGCAAACAAGAAAATACAACCCAGTCAAATGGAAAGTACGTTTACTTTTTGAAATTTACGCTTTTGGTATGATCTCTCTCCCTAGCTGGTCGGAATGAGGGTCATACACACAGGGGACTGGATCAGCATCAGAGGCACTCAGGTCAGATATTGCATGGGGTTAGATACAGAGTAAAGCTCTCTCTACCCTGTCCCCCATCAAACACTCCCCAGGACAGGGACAACGTGGGGTTAGATACAGAGTAAAGATCCCTCTACACTGTCCCCCATCAAACACTCCCCAGGAAGGACAGCGTGGGGTTAGATACCGAGTAAAGCTCTCTTTACCCTGTCCCCCATCAGCCATTCACAGGACAGGGGCAGCATGGGGTTAGATACAGAGCAAAGCTCTCTCTACACTGGCCCTCATCAAGCAGCTTCAGGATGGGGACAGTATGGGGTTAGATACAGAGTAAAGGTCCCTCTATACTGTCCCCATCAAATACTCCCTTGACAGGGACAGCACAGCGTTACTTATAGTATAAAGCTCACTGGACACTAATCTCCATCAAACACTCTCAGGACAGGGACAGGAGGGGTTTAGATACTGAGTAAAGCTTTATTTTCACGTGGAAGATAAAGCTGTTACTACACCAACACCATCAATACTCCCAGGACCAGTGCAGCATGAGGTTAGAATCAACGTAAAGCCTTCAATACTCTTTCAAATTAAAAAGAAAACTCCCATGACACTGTGCCCATCAAACACTTGCAGGACAGGAACAGCACAAGTTTAGGTACAGAGTAAAACTGCTGCAACATTTTTAAACTGAAAGCGAATCTCCCTCTACATTGTCCCCATCAAACACTCCCAGGACACGGATAACATGTATTTAGGTACAGAGTAAAGCTCCCACTACACCTTTAAATTGAACATAGAACATAGAACATAGAACATTACAGCGCAGTACAGGCCCTTCGGCCCTCGATGTTGCGCCGACCTGTGAAACCAATCTGAAGCCCATCTAACCTAAACTATTCCATTATCATCCATATGTTTATCCAATGACCATTTAAATGCCCTTAAAGTGGGCGAGTCTGCTATTTTTGCAGGCAGGGCATTCCACGCCCTTACTACTCTCTGAGTAAAGAACCTACCTCTGTCCTATATCTATCACCCCTCAATTTAAAGCTATGTCCCCTCATGCTAGCCATCACC